AACCCAGCATGGCGAAGTGTTACATGTCAAGCCTCTTTATGAGTTTCTAGCTCTGGCTGGCTGCTGGCCTGCAAATGCTCTGCAAGTCCTGGCCATTGTTCAGTGACATCCTTTCACTTGACAGTTATTCAAGAGCATTTATTTCAGAAGAAAAATCAAAGCAGGTAGAACTATTGCTTTAAGAAGTTTGAATTGTTACATATTGCATTTCAGCTCAAGGAAATAATTCATTCTGTTCCTAGAATTAATTTTTCTGGCAATAAACTTCAGTTCAATATGAATGCACATTTTCTGTGACAAAACCAGCAAAAGTGGAGAAAGGACTGGAGCTGATATTGGATGGTGCAGAAAGAATAATTTTTTTTCATTGAAAAGCCTATGTAAATAGCGATAAAATATGTGGAATTCAGTATCTGTCACAAATTTCAGTATCTGTTTTGTGGTATCTTTAATGAAAAATAAGCTAGGTTAGCCAGAGAAAGAAAGATAGGTTTTACCCTCTAGCCATAGATTAATCTTTGCAGTAGTATATGTTTAATATACTCAAAATGTCAGAATTAGATACACTTATGAATATTCTATTTTCAATGCATTCAAATATGGCAGAATAAATTCACCATTGCAAACCCATCCTCTTAAAGAATGGAAACACAGGAAAGTGCAGGTCTTTTTGTTAGATTAGAAGTAAAACAGCAAACCCAACCAATGTGAACCATTGCACCACAGGTTGATGATGCTTACTGTCAAACCATTGTATTTCCCTGTGTGCTGAAGGCTGAGTTACATTAACACTTTCAGTATGGGCAGACATGTATGAAGAGGTAACCAACCTAAGGTCCCTTGCTCTTACCCAGACCCACTTGTCTGCTAACAATCTACAGATTGAGTCCAAGATGCCACAGTCTAAGTGTTGCTTGCCACTGTTATTTATTACTACATGCTGATTCCCTATCCATATCCAAAACAGTGGTGTGCCTGCAGTTATCTTCAATGACCTGTTGACAACAAAACATGGTAGCAGTTCCAAAATAACCCAAGAAAAGAAAAAAATCTAACTGCTTTTAATCTGTGGCTCTCAAGTGACTCTTCATCTGTGAAAAATTTCATGTTTGTTGTGCAAGTTAAATTACACCAAACTCCATATTGACAGCAGACTGATCTGCTACAGTCAATCTTAATTTCAGTATTTTTTTGCTTCTAAAGCCTACATTTCATACCTCTGGTTCTGTATTATAAGGCCCAAGTATTATGTATGGCTTATGATGCTGGTATCCCCATCGTCTGTTTTCCTGCCCAGAAACGGGTCCTGTGGCTTTAAGCTAGGCCTAGAGAGAGGAGGAGGTGGGAAGCGGGTGGAATTCCTGCCGCTGGTGTTCAAAGCATAGAGAGAGACGGGCTGCAGCGCTCTCCTTGGTTTGCAGAGAAAGAGAGGGAGCTCTTAGCTACGGCAAGAAAGGTTTTCCCAGGGGCGTGTATTTTTTGTGGAGCAGTTTGGCTGCTCCGCGGCCTGGGCGCCACGCCCGAGCTCCGCGGGCCCTGAGCGAGACGGAGCGGGCCGAGCCGCACCCGCGGGAGGGCTCGCTGGGCTACAAAAGGACTTCCTGAATTTGCCATCTCCTCAGAGCAACGAGAGGTGCCATTGTTTAACATGATTCATTTTTTTTGTACTTCTGAGCACTTTGCTTGTTAAATAAACAGGTTTTTACACTTTTCTCCAAGGAGATTTTTCTCCCGAACCGGCTGGGGAAGGGGCTGCTGGAATTTCGTTTCTAGAGGAGACCCCTTCGGGAAGTTTTGTCCCAAACCAGGACCAGGCTTATTAGGAATATTGCATATGAAAACTTCAAGTTTTGTTATATGAAAACAGCCTTTCCAGGCATAGTTATGAAAAAGTAATAGTTTATGAAAAAGTAATCACAATGTCATTATCAAAACAGTTCCTTTCACCATGCAAGACATCATTCACTTGTGACATTTGGTTAGCTTAAGACGTGTACTTACCTTCCCACTAAAGCTCATGATGAGGCTTTCATGTCCAATGACCAACTTTGTGGAAGACAAAAAACAGGAATGGAGAATGTCAGATTTCAAATGTTCATATATATTACTATTAAAAATATTTTCATGCACACTGCTTAGCATTTAAAGGCTTCACATGGTGCACTTCAAGTAGGTTCTAGTTGGTTTTTTAGAGGGGACAAGTACGTCTGGCTAGTAAGCTATCATGAATTCATGCACCTGTAAGTAAGTACAGTACCATAAGGGTGCTTTAACAGGCCAAAGACATAGTGTATATTTTGCCAGATTTTTCAACAGTTAATGCAAGTTGCCTAATTATATAATCAGATCGATCACTGAAAGCAAAATCCAAGCTTCCCAAACGATAGTTCTTTCTAATATTTTGATGCTTCTTTTCCCTTCTCACACACTTCATCCTTCCTGCAAGAGACACTGTTACTGGCCATCTGAGCTAGGGTGTACCCACAAATTCTTAGCATGGCAATGGGGAAAATTCCACAGAGATAAAAGGGAAAAACTCAACCTCCAACACCGAACAATCAGGTCAGATTTTCTTCCTGCACAAAGTCACTGAGTTCCATGAGGCCACAAATCCTAATCTCTAGGCTAAGCTCGGCTGTAGCTTCACTTGGTGCCCAAACGGGAACACCTGAAATTCAGGAGACCTGTCGGAACTCGGTCTTGACCTCTGGGGAGCCAAGGGTAGGACCTGCCCATTCTGGTGGTTTGTGCTGGCACCAGATCAAGGTTGGGAAGTCATCAACAGCTGTGGAGTCAGGAGGAGGCTGCCTCAGCGTATTCACCTCCAGGGAAGGTAAGATGAAGGGCAATATCCATCCCATCTACTCTTTCGTTTAAGTTGGCAGTTCAATTTCTGTACCAAGATGGGTTCCTGGATGTCTGTAGAGTAGAAAGACATCTACAGGGATTTTAAGCTCAAATTGGCTTATCGGGGCAAGAAATTTGAAAAGAAGGAACTCCAAAATTTGATCCTATTGGCTTATGAAAACTCTCTGGAGGCTACCAAAGACAGGCTCTACTTGGTGGACATTTGGGACTTAACTGGGAGGAAGCTGTACAATTCAGCTGTAAATTGGGATCGCTTGGCTCAAAAACTGATTCTTATCTTTTAGAAACTATATAACGTGATTAAATTGGGAGAAAGAGAACACAGCATGAGGGAAGAATTATTTGGAGGACTGAAAAAAGTTCAAAATTTGGATCAGTCCAGTACTGTCAAGCCTGCCTTCTCCTTCACCCTCTTGTCCTGCAACTGAACCCAATAACAGATATGGGGCTGAGATGGATTCTGCCTGTGCCCGAAGCTGGCCCAGGGAGTTATGCTGCTCTGCTGGTGACCCTGATACCCGATATCCGTTGTCCAAGGACACCCAGGACCCACAATGGCAATGTGCAGGCCATGGTTGGTTTCACCCACTCTGTCCTTACAGTGCCCTCATATGCTCCTTGCCTCCTTTGTCCTTCTACAACCATGCAGTCCCCATCCAGTAAAAAGCACCCATGACATTATCCTACTGGCTGCCCTACTGCAAATGATAGTCATCTTAAAACTACAACTAATACTATCAGTCAAAGCCCCAGTTTGTCAGGTGTCCCCCCTCCAACCCTGCCTGCCAGTCCACCCTCACATCTTCACTGCCCACCCACCACCCTAAGGGACCGCCCACTCCCACCCCTGCCAGAACTAGCACTGAATGCCACTCCCCTTGTGAGGAGACCAGAACTACCCTTAAAGCAGTTCCAGTAGGCCCCAGCCCAAAAATGGTGGCATCCAGATTGGCCTGGCCTGCACTGAGGCCCAGTAAGGGGGCCAACCCGAGAGATAGAAGGGTGCTCATTGACAAGGGCTACTCTTCCAGGTTGTTCTCCTCTCTTTCCTTTTCCGAGAAAGACCTCTGCTGGTTGGAGTCAAGGAAGAGTAATTGGGAAGAAATTAAAAGATCAGCCCTGAAGAAAGTTGAATAGGAGTTGGCTTCTAAACTTGATGTCATACCAGTAAGGTATAACAGGAGAGGTGACTCGCACTGAGAGATTTTGGCTCTTAGTGAAATAAAGGAACTATGCAAAGGAGCCAGACATCATGGTTGGAACTCTACATATTTTACAAGCATGGTTTCAGCAACTTTTGCTGTGCATATCTTTACTCTCCATGACATTAAATATTTGACATCGCTGCTTGATGCGGTGCTGGAGTTCTCTGGCTAGCTTTTGACCCCACACCAAGAGTGGCTGCTCCCTGACCAAGACTGGTCTGGGTAGCAGTAGAGCAGGGCTTGCTCTCTACAGCACACTGATACACTGAAGAGCCAAGGACAGAGGCAAAGTCAGGGGAAGGATCTTTCTTGTAGAATCAAGGTCTGTTTATTCCAAGGACAGTCCAGGGACGAAAGACGAAGAACATAAGTATACAATAGCTTATATATGGGGGAGATCTCAGGGGGAAGGTACACTCTTTAACCAATAGGAAAAACACAGGGGAGGATAACAGGGCGGGATTCACAATATACAAACCAATGGGGAAAACAGGAGGAGGGGAATAGATCAAACCAACCAATGGGGCTTCGAAGATTAGGGGATTTCCAAAGGGGATTTCCAAGCAGGGGATTGGCACAAGGAGGGATTGAGAGCTAGGCAGGGGGAAGGGCAAAGAACATTCCACAACAAGGAGCAGCTCTTTGGGTATAACAGGATAGGAGGACACAACTTAGGCTAAGCCAACAACATAGAGGGGAACAGGAGCAAAGCATTAAAAAAACCCCACACTAGAACAGCTGTTGTCCCCTACCGAGTTTTCTCTGTGGGCGTTGGGGTGGAAGAGACAGTTAAACAAATTGCTTCTGGATTATGCCAGGGATCCGGCACAGGCTGGCATTACACTTGACCAGTTGGTGGGACAGGGAATCCATACCAGCTTCAGCCAGCAGGCCAGACATCTGCAAAGGCTGGTGTTAAATGACATTATGGAAGCAGCTAAAAGAGCCTTGTTGCAGGTACCCGAAGCTAGTAAACTGCAATTGGACTTCACTGATATAAGGCAAGGCCCTACCAAGCCTTATATGACATTTCTGAAGAGGCTTAAACTCACTATTGATAAACAAGTGGCCGAGGATCAGGTTCAGGAGAGGCTACTGAAACAGCTATCAGTGGTCAATGCTAACCCCAAATGTAAGAAGGCCCTAAAGGCTTTGCTCTCTGACCCTGAGCCCACCATACCCTGGATGGTGGAGGCTTGTAATAAGCTGTCTCCTCTGGAGCGTGTTGTTACTCTTCAAGTGTAGGTATTAGCTAACACCTCAGTCAAATCTCAAAAGGATCCTCAAAGACAAGCAAAGCCAGAGGCCAGGACAATGCTTTAATTGTGGCCAGAAGGGATTTGGGTGAGGAGCTGCCGCAAACCCAAAGAGGAGATTTTTCAAAGACTATGTGACTGCAATAAAACTAGGCTGGATACTAACTCTTATCATCAAGTCCAGGTCAGCTGCTGCTGCCAGTCGGGAAACTCCAGGCAAGGCACGGGGGTGAGCGGAGACACAAGAACCCCTGTCACATCCATACTAAACACTGGCAGCCATCAAACCTCTATTTGCAATGCCTCGTTGGGAACTTGTCTGCCTCAGTACCACCAAGTTCCCGACTGGAGCTGTCAACTGCCGGGTCAGCAATGTTAACTAATTTCTTTCATCATGCTGTCTCTACAGGCCAGCTAGGACCAGAACCACAGCCAAGGGACTTCCTCATTATTGGACTGGATCAACACAGTATTGAGGGTTTTTATGTGTTGCCTGTTTTAATAGTTACTTCTAATCAGGAGATTACAGTGCTAGTGTGGTACCCTAACCCTCCTTGTTTCATTCCCCAAGGAATAGTTTCCACTCAGGCTTTTGTGGCTCGCGGTCTATGACAGTGCCGCTGACAAAAATTGCGTCGCACGGACCCAGCAGATTGGCCTGGCTAAAATTAAGATCATCTGCAATGTTACCTACCTGCCCGTGAGAAACCATCACCAGGACAGGCAGCGTCAACACAGGAGCAGATGTGACCGTTACCTCACGCAAGTACTGGCCACCTGAGTGGACTCTTGTTCCTTCCCTCCCCACACTTGTGGGAATTGGGGAGCACAGCAACACTCTGAGAAGTTTACATCCTGTTTCCTTTAAAGGGCAGTGTGGCCACCACCAAACCATTTATCATTAATAAAGACAGAGTGCTTGTTTGGGATAGGGATTTCCTATCCCAATGGGGACTGAGACTTGAGACAAATTTTATCAAGGGCCACTGATTAACATGGTGACGTAAAAACTCACTTGGACCTCGGACGAACCTGTCTGGGTCAATCATTGCCCCTTCCCATCGAAAAGTTGCCCACGCTAGTCTCTGGTTCGTGAACAACTGGAAAAAAGGCATATTGTCCCTATGAATAATCCCTGGAATACCCCCATTTTCGTTATCAGAGAGCTACATAGTGAGAAATGGAGGCTACTTCAAGACGTGAGAAAGGTCAATGGAATCATTGAGGAAATGGGACCGTTGTAGCCAGGATTGCCCTCTCCTAACATGATCCCCAGGGACTGGCTGTTAATGATAATAGACCTGAAAGATTGCTTTTTCAGCATCCCTTTACATCTGGAGGATGCACTAAGATTGTCTTTTTCAGTTCCCTCCATCAACCACAGTCACCACTGAAAAGGTACCATTGTACTGTCCTGCCACAAGCTATGCAGAACTCCCTGACAATATGTCAGTGGTATGTGGCAAGGATCCTTTCACCTGTTTGAGAGAAGTTCCCCCAAGTAAAATGATACTACACTACATAGATGACATCTTGATTGCCTTGGAAAAGGATACCACTCTGGAACTTGTCAGAACCACTGACATACTGGAGGAGATCCGCAAGTCTGGTCTACAACTAGCCAAAGATAAAATGCAGTGATCCTTCCCTTAGAGGTACCTAGGGAATAGGCTCACTGAGCGTACTTTTACACCACCCATCTCCAGGATGGATCATCCATCTGCAGGAGGAACTCACCACCCTACATGATCTGCAGAAACTTATTGGGTCACTAAATTGGGTTAGGACCCTCCTCGAGATCACAAACCAGGATTTGGCTCCTTTGATTTATTAAGGGGAGACAAGAATCTGAACGCTCCTAGAGAGTTAACACCAGATACCAGAACTGTGTCGGATAAAGTGGCTACCACACTGCACGCTGGCCAAGCCCATCAGTACCACCCAGAGTCATCTTTTTTATTGCTATTTTAGGAGAACACCCATGCTTTTATGGTTTAATTTTTCAATGGAAAAAGGACTTGTCTGAGCTTTTGTTAATTTTGGAATGGATCTTCTTATCCTATCAAATGCCCAAAACAATTACTATTGCCTTGAAATCCTTTCTCAGTTGATCATGAAAGCCTGATCCTGAGTTTTAGCCCTTTCCAGAAATGATTTCTCTGTTATGTTTGTACCCACTACTTCTCTGTATTTAGAATGATTAATTCAGCAATCCGAGGTTTTTCAAATTGCTTTAGCAAGTTTTACTGGACAGATCTCAGTTCATTTTCCAAAGCATAAGTTATTACACCTTCCTTTGAACCTCATCCAAAAACCCCTAGAAAGTCACACCCCTTTTAATGCTCCTACTATTTTTACAGATGGCTCTGGCAAATCACATAAATCAGTTAGCACATGGAAAGACCCTAACAGCAGTAATTGGGAATCAGATACTGAACTTGTAGAAGGATCACCACAGATTGTGGAACTTGCAGTTCTAAATTTTTAATTCCTTTTAATTTAGTTACAGATTCTTTTTACGTTGCAGGCATCGTGAAGCGAGCAGAAGGTCCCCTTCTCAAGTTTATTTCCAATGAAAAATGGTATAATTTGCTCAAAAATTTAATTTTCTTCCTGTCTTTAAGGAAACAACCTTATTTTGTTACATATATTCATTCCCATACTAAGCTGTCTGGATTCATGGCTGAAGGTAAAATCCACTCTGACCACCTCACCATGCCCATTCAAACCACCCTCCCAAATTTTTTGAACAAGCCCATTTAAGTCATTCCTTCTTTCACCCAAATTCCTCATCCCTTAAGAGATCCTTTAATCAAATCGAAGATCAGGCCCATATGATCATAAGCTCCTGCCCTGATTGCCAGCAACAATCCATCCCCTCGGTGTGAAGTGATATAAACCCCAGGGGACTTAATAGTTCAGAAATTTGGCAATCAGACATCATGCAGTGTTCTTCATTCGGTCAATTTAAGTATTTACATGTATCCATTGATACGTTTTCAGGAGCAATTTTTGCCACTGCTCATGTGGGAGAAAATGCCCGAGATGTCATTAAACACTTTTTACAGGCCTTTTCGACATTGGGTGTACCTCAGAATATTAAAACTGACAACGGGTGGGGATATTTATCATTAAAAGTGCAACAATTTTTTAGTCTGTGAGGGGTAAAAACATCACACAGGCATTCCCCATTCATCCACTGGACAAGCAGTCATAGAAAGAGCACACAGATCCTTAAAGATCTTCAAGAAAAACAAAAATGGGGAGTGGACTCCCTCCCAACAGTGGAAAGGCTGTCCAAGGCAGTGTATGTTTTAAATTTCCTTAATAATTCCTATATGGAGCTACTACCACCCATTTTCAGACACTTTAGTAACACCACTCAGGCAAAATTGAAAGAGAGACTTCCTGTGTTAATAAAGAATCCAGAGACCTCACAAATCTCTGGACCCTACCTACTAATCACATGGGGCAGAAATATGCTTGTGTATCCATAGGTGCTGGACCCAGATGGATCCCTGCAAACAACGTCAAGCCTCATCTACAGCCACTACCAGGACTTGCCACTACCCAGGAGGACCAGTCAAAAGAAGACAGGGAAGACTCAGAGAGAAAACCCCATCAACTAAGGACCAGCCAGAAGAATGAACATTGGATTGCCCTGCTCATCTGCTTCAATTTCCTCCTTCCAAGTAACACCTGGACAGTCCCACAGCCAAAACAAAATGTTTGGGTTACGTTGGCTAATATTACCAAGCAAGACACCAGGTGCCTTTCAGTAGTCAGCCCTAGTAACCTCATTCCTTGTAACTTCCACTTGTCTAGTGGAGTTACCTACGGATGTGTGGCCAATACCAGCGGATACCATCCGTACTCTGCAGATCTGGAGTCAAACTGGTAAAACTATAAAACCTAACCCCTTAGACTATTGGGGCCATTGTATCAGAAAGCTGCCAATGCACCAACTGAACCTCAGGAACTGGAATTATTGGGGTCAGTCAGAATGGATTATTGTATAAATTTTTGGCATTTTATGTCTTTTCAGGATATTTCAACAAATAATCAGCTATATAGGAACAAAACTTTATGGTACAATTACCCTGCTCACACTTCAGTCTGGTCCAAATTATACCCAATCCAACTACCACGTGGTATCTTTTTCATTTGCAGAGACAGGGCTTGGCCAGCTATCCCATCAAAAATCAAGGGTGGCCCATGCAGCTTGGAGCATCTTACTGTGCTAGGATTCAATATTTCCATGTCACACATATTAACACAAACAAAAAGATCAATTCATCAGTTTGAATCTATTGGACAAGAACATGTTTTCAGTACTACCATGGGTAGCTGCTGCTAAGGCCGTCTAGCAATTAGGTGGGTTTGGATGCTGGCTTAGTAAGCAAACCAATGCGACATCAGTCACCCTCCACGAGCTGTTAGCAGATGTTAATGCGGTTCACCATGCCACACTCCAGAACTGCGCTGCAATTGACTTTCTGTTACCAGCACATGGTCACGGCTGTGGAGATTTTGAAGGCTTATGTTGCATGTATTTGTCAGATCACAATGAATCTATTTCTGGCAGCATAAGCTTTCTAAAGGAGGGAGTTGAGAAACTGCAGATTGGGCAGGTGAGCAACTGGCTCGCCCGTATCTTCAAAGGATGGAACCTACTTATGCTTTCTCCATTATCAAAACCGGACCATTGATTTTATTAATACTAATATTGGTTGTTATTGTTTCTTCCTGCCTGTTAAAATTTATGATGAAGACTTTTGAAAAACAAAAAAGGGGAATTGTGAGGTTAGCTTTTGGGTGCTTTCGGCACCCGCTTGTCGGGTTGTTTTGTTTAATGAGCTAAGTAGCTAATAGTTGTTACAAAGTTGTTTATTGCAGAAGTGCATCAGTCTCAAAAGTAAAGGTCAAGCAAAGCAATGGCAAAAGCAATGGCAAAATGCACAGCTCTCCCTAAAGCATGTTTTCTT